ATGATCACTATGTTTTTCAACAATCCCTATTAGAAGTTTCAATGGCATTTCATCAGATGTGGTAAACTCACTAGCACCGGCTTGATCGGTACTCAATTCTCAACATTAAATAGTACTGGCATCAATGATCCCGAAGGACCAGAGAAATATAACAACACTGAAGTGAGGTACGGGGCAACTTTTTACAGCTGTCACACAGCTCTTGACACCTGCTGTTTTGAAGTATACAAATCTGGAAACAAAGTGATCCTTCGGAAGCATTAGACACAACAAAATTACATGGAAATTGCAGACTCGGTTTGATTGAGTCTGTATATGAGGTAAAATGAATAAGTGCATCATTCCTCGGATTTTACAACTATTCACATAAATGATCACCATATCAAGTTTTATTAAGTTGCAAACTAGGACTTTAACTTAATAAACGTGTTATATGGAATATAAATTGTGCTCTCAGAATCATGAGTTATATTAAAGAAAAGAATACTATACCAGTTATATCATTGTTTTGTTTAACACGTTAGTATTTGTAGAAAATAAGTATCTTTTGTACGAGCATTTACGCGATAAATTCCAGTTAAATAAGGCAGCATTGGAAACAAACCAGCGGGAAGTGAAATTGCAAATACTGATTACGCCAAAAATTGTAAGTACTAAAGCGTATTCCGTAGATGCTATTATGAATATTTATTCGATATTTAGGTATATAAAACTATCTGGACATACTCAAGATCAAGTCTAAAAGGCAGTTATTAGACAGTATAAACAATCAATGTGGTATAATAATAAATGACTGTATTAATGCAAACAAACTGAAAATAAACGCTTCTAAAATGGAATAAGTCACAGCTAAACAAACGAAACACATAACAAAAACTTGTAACATAGATAACAACCTCCCGCTTGTAGGGGACATTTTACATGAAGCACACTATAGTATCATTTCAAAATGTTGAGGTATTGGTCTGGAATTTTTATGCAAAAAAATATTGATAAATGCTAGATCTGCAAATGCAACGAATGACCAGTGTTCACGATATTGCACGAGTGAGCTCGACAATGTACGTCAGTAACGGAAAATTTCGAGTTTCATCAATTCAATATTGAAAGTTGAATCATAGTTTGGGGACCTTTCTGTTGAAAATGTGTCAGAGTTAAAACGTATACACATATACATAAACAGTGCGTTAACTGGAGTGCAGGTATTAGTTACCCGCACTCCAGAGCATGCTCATTGATTGGTTCATTGTTGCTGGGTTTACATATTGTGGCGGCAGAGAGAGTGAAAGCGACAGAAATATCATATTCAAATGCTCGTTCATTGGTTACTTTTTTCTGGGGTTTCATATTGTGACAACAGGGAACGTGTTTTTATGTTTGACTATGATACAAAAAAGAAAGAACATCAAAACACTCGGCAATCTGATTTATACTCGGGGGCTACGCCCCCCTCGTACAAATCAGATAGCCTCGTGTTTCGATGCTCTTTCTATTACTTAAACATGCACAGTAAAAACTAAACACATCCAAATAAAATAACGCACGCACACTATGCAAAGCCGTTAACACGTTATTGTAATTTGTGACACATACAACAACAAAAAACTCCCGTGTATGTGTCAATAGAAGTACAAATGAGCTTATTTTATCACTTAAAATGTACAAAGAAGTGTACTGTTTGAAAGTCATTCAAGATGTAGTTACAGTTAGAGTGCAGTACAGTCCATGATTCTATTTCTATTTTATTTTTCATTTGAATCTATAGCGCTTAAACATTTGTTATCTGGACATGAAAAATCCATTCAATAATATTCATTTAAAGTATACCAAACTTATAAAGCGCCCTTTTCATATATTCATACGTTCAAATGAGTTGTACAATGATGTTTAATTAAACAAACAATGCACTACTAGAAACAAGCTAAATAACTTCATACACAATACATTATTAGATTATAAAATATTTGAAACAGTTACAATTAAAGTTTAGATTGAAAATTTAAATAATATATTATAGCTTGTAATTATAATACAATAAATTATATTGTGTTTGGTTTTATTTTAATGCAGTTTTAGAAGAAAATAAATAAATGCTGTTCAATTTGTTATTTAGTATGATTTCATGCATAAGATGTCCTTTTTGTTATGATGATCTATTCATGATATTATCTGCAACGCCATTGCGTATCATTTATATAAAACAATAAAACGTTTAACAAAGATGATCAAGAAATGGTACACAAAATAAGGAATGTTTTCATACTTGAAGTTGTACTTTTGTCATTTTTCACAATTTGGAATTTATAACAAAACGTTAATTTTTGTATACTTACATTTGTATACTTACATTGCATATATGTTCACACATATTTTCAACATTAGAAAATAGTACGCTTTGATTGATTTTCAAAGTAGATTATTATTTCATTTCAGTTGTAAATCATAGCCCGCATCTTAATTGGCAATATAACCGCAATAAAAGGACTCCGTTAATTTTAGATTTGTGTTTAATTTGTATAATTGAGATAAGATATGATATGTATTCCAGGATGTATTTCACTCCTTGGTTCTACAAAAAGATGGATAATGACTGGTTATATTTTACACTTACAGATAGTATGACTGATAGATTTACTGACATTGTCAATCTCTTAGCTTAATTAGCTAATTAAATCACTTTTCAGAGATACCTATTACAACCTAGCAACATATCTTAACTCCATAAAAACTAAAACCTGTCCTTTACTTCAATTTGCTTCAATATTTTTTGATCATTATAATGTGATACAAGGGATGTACTTTGACAGAAATATGAAGCAAAATTTACATAGAAAACCACATCATGCAATCATAGTACCAGCTACTACACCGCATACTTTCAAATTGTTCAATACCGCAAATTATTCAAGTACACCGATTTAAATTAAAACTTTTGAATTCAGGCAATTACGTTTCCTTAAAAAATGCATCATCATAACTTAAAGGTTCATTGGCAATAGGGAAATATAATTCGGAATGAATAAATATATTGTCCGACTTAAATTTGCATGAAACAAGATGATGATTAAGATTATATTGTCACTCACATGAAAAGGTTTTTACATTTAGATATATTAAAAATGTAAAGATGGTCATTCAATGAATTGTAATAATCGTTACAAAGTGCAAAGTCATGATTTCGTTACTTCGTAAAACATTATTTTTCTTACAAGAAATATTTAATAAAGTCGTAATATAATATTTAAACATGTGATAAAATATTAAAAAGATTACTCGTACATAAACATTTGCGATAATAAGATGTTCACAATTATTCATGTTATCTTTGAAAAAAAAAACGCAAACCATTTATCACTGGATCTCAGCATAAAAACAGAATACCCCAGGTGTAACGATGGCAACGATAGGTTTAATTTTCCGGACTGTCTAGAGAAAATGAATGAATTCATTATAGTATTAGATAATCTATGGGCCCGGTCATGACCCTAAGAAATAATGTTTCGTTAATGCTACATACATGTCTGGTTGTTATATGAGAAATAGAGTAAGAGCGCTAAATTATTTGTTTTATTTTTTGATATATTCTTAGCAAAGTTCAAAAAGGTTTACTAAAGAAAACATATCAGAATGATTTCACTTTATCTGCACACATGAAATGATGCTAATGCATGTACCTGACTATTAAATAAAGAAACATAGCCGCTTTGCATATAATACTCTGATCGGATGTTGGGTGTTTAAAGCTATATTTGATAAATTTAAAGAAACAGCAATAGCGATATTTCAATAATGAATATCGACGCCATATCTTATCTTGGTGTCCAGACAAGTAAAATATATTTTATAGGCATAAAAATCTGCAACCTCTTTGTGGCGAAATCGGAAGAACAATTTTTGTTTGCATGCCAAAGTCCGCCTTCGGATCATCCGTACATCAATATTAAATCAACAAACATGACTATAAGTAAAGCAGTCCTAATTTAACGGTATATTTCCGCATTGTAACGGATGTTTTCATGCAAATTTAATCTTTTTTATATGATGACTTTTTTCTTACGCCAGGCCTAGTGCACCGTGAAAAACGGTTAACAAGAAAATCTCATATTTTCTGTGTTCCGGATAACATCTATAACACTGTGACGTAGCACATACATGAGCTGATTCTAGTCTTAATTTGCATGTTAGAATTTGTATTCGAACTTTAGTGCTACCGTGGGGTTTTCCGTTAAAAATCGTAATTCATGAACAATAATTGATGAGATTTACAACAATACTGTTAAAAAGGTTAATGAAGCTGTAGAATGCTCGTTTTTTTTTTGGCCGGCGGCAAAATATCTTTAAATATGTATTTAATGTACAATAAATGGAAGTTGATCAGATGAGAGTGAATGCAGAAATGTATTTACGAAAGACTCGTGTGCCAGTGTAGTCCTTTTTAATTTTCTTCATTTGCAATTATATAGCAATGGTGTAGGAAGCAGATTTCATTGTTTGCATTAAATTCTTGCTTAGATGCCACACTATATCATAATCAATATTTTGCTTCATTGTCTCCCCTTTTTAGTTTTAAAGAAAGAATGACATCATTATCAGATAGTTAAGCAAAAGTGCAAAGTAATAAATTCCGCAATAAATGATAAAAAAATCTTCGCAGCTATAAAATTGAAACGATCTTGATTATCTCAAAGTAGAACGTGGATTTTCTCATTTTATTTTCTTCTTCAAAGTGTACAAAGGTTGGAACTAATTAAATAAGTTTGATGATAAAATGAAAATGAAGATTTGAAGACGCGCCATCGAATAACAATGAATATTTTTAATAGTTATATGTCAATTAAGAACAAGAAAAAATTTGTAATATTGCTAAATACATTAATAATATCTGTCATATTTTGCGGTTCGGATCGGAATATCCGTCCCGAGGTGATCCGCCCATTGGGCGGTAACGAGGCTTTACAAAAAATTATCTTCTAATACAAAGAATATAAAAATTGAAGCAATTAAATTTGAAACCAGAAAAGTTCAAGGTATCGCATTTCACTAAAGAATCGTTCTCCAATATAATGGACATCCCGGAAAGTAGTACATCTTATTCTTGGAGCAAAATCTGTGAAATATACAATATTTCAGTTAAATTAAAATCGTAACCAAAACGTAACGGCTTGCGTAAATTAATCTAAAATGCACCTTTATTAATACCTTTTTAGCTCACCTGAGCACAAAGTGCTCAAGGGTGAGCTTTTGTCATCACTCTGCGTCCGTCGTGCGTCGTGCGAAGTGCGTCGTGCGTCCTTCAAAAAATGGCGTCAAACTTTTCAAACAACATCTTCTCCTAAACCACATGGCCAATTGCAACCAAACTTTACAGAAATGATCCTTAGGTGCAACCCTCTCAAAGTTGTTCAAAAATTTTAATTCCATTAAAAACTCTGGAACCCAAAGAGCTAGAGCTAAGATATTTAGCATGAAACATCTTCTAATGAGTGTCTACCAAGTTTGTTTAAATAAAAGCCCTACGGTCAAAATTGGCCCCGCCCCAGGGGGTCATTGATTTTCCCTATATGCATATAGTAAAAACTTAAAAAAATCTTCTTTTAAAGAACCCAAAGAGCTAGAGCTTAGATATTTAGCATGAAACATGTTCTAATGGGTGTCTACCAAGTTTGTTCAAATAAAAGCCCTGGGGTCAAAACTGGCCCCGTCCCTGGGGGTCATTGATTTTCCTTATATGTGTATAGCAAAAACTTAAAAAATCTTCTTTTAAAAAACCCTAAGAGCTAGAGCTTAGATACTTAACATGAAACATCTTCTAATGAGTGTCTACCAAGTTTGTTCAAATAAAAGCCCTAGGGTCAAAATTGGCCAAGCCCCAGGGGGTCATTGATTTTCCCTATATGCATATAGTAAAAACTTAAAAAATCTTCTTTTAAAGAACTCAAAGAGCTAGAGCTAAGATATTTAGCATTAAACATTTTCTAATGGGTGTCTACCAAGTTTGTTCAAATAAAAGCCCTGGGGTCAAAATTGGCCCCACCCCGGGGGTCATAGATTTTCCTTATATGTGTATAGCAAAAACTTAAAAAATCTTCTTTGAAAAAACCCAAATAGCTAGAGTTTAGATATTAAGCATGAAACATCTTCTAGTGAGTGTCTACAAAGTTTGTTCAAATAAAAGCCCTGGGGTCAAAATTGGCCCCGCCCCGGGGGTCATTGATTTTCCTTATATGCATATAGCAAAAACTAAAAAATCTTCTTTGAAAACCCCCAAACAGCTAGAGTTTAGATATAAAGCATGAAACATCTTCTAATGAGTGTCTACAAAGTTTGTTCAAATAAAAGCCCTTGGGTCAAAATTGGCCCCGCACCAGGGGGTCATTGATTTTCCCTATATACTAAAGTAAAAACTTAAAAAAAAAAATTCTTTTAAAGAACCCAAAGAGCTAGAGCTAAGATATTTAGCATGAAACATCTTCTAATGGGTGTCTACCAAGTTTGTTAAAATAAAAGCCCTAGGGTCAAAATTGGCCCCGCCCCAGGGGGTCATTGATTTTCCTTATATGCATATAGTAAAAACTTAAAAATCTTCTTTTAAAGAACCCAAAGAGCTAGAGCTAAGATATTTAGCATGAAACATCTTCTAATGAGTGTCTACCAAGTTTGTTTAAATAAAAGCCCTACGGTCAAAATTGGCCCCGTCCCTGGGGGTCATTGATTTTCCTTATATGTGTATAGTAAAAACTTAAAAAAAATCATTTTTGAAAAAACCCATATAGCTAGAGTTTAGATATTAAGCATGAAACATTTTCTAGTAAGTGTCTACAATGTTTGTTCAAATAAAATCCCTGGGGTCAAAATTGGCCCTGCCCCAGGGGTGTCATTGTTTTTAACTATGTGTATAGTAAAAACTTAAAAAATCTTCTTTTAAAAAACCCAATGAGCTAGAGCTTTGATGTTTAGCATGAAACATCTTCTTATTGGTGTCTACCAAGTTTGTTCAAATAAAAGCCCCTGGATTAAAATTGGGGGGGGGGGGGGGGGGGAGAGTAGATCATTGTTTTTCATTATATGTGTGTAGTAAAAACTTAACATTGTGAAACATCTTCTAATGGGTGTCTTCTAAGTTTGTTCAAATAAAAGCCCTGGGGTTTAAACTGGCCCCGCTCCGGATGCCTTTATACAGGTGAGCGACCTCAGGGCCATCATGGCCCTCTTGCTTCAAATACCATTAGTATGCGACTATATGAATATTCTTGTCGTTTTTGTTAACGTTTCCAGCAAGAATAAAAATGGCCATTATATGTAGAACCAAGGAAAATCATCGTTACTTTGCAGATTAATTCTACTTTGTAGGTGTAACTGTGTGTACTTTTCGGGAGGGTGGGAGGGATTCAGTGTACGATATAGTACACTAAACGTGTGTAGCAACGCAGAAAACCTCGAATGATGTACATGTCTAAACGACTTTATTATATGATACTGACGCACGAGAAAATCGTGCGTATCATATTCAATGATTTTCAATACAGTAAAACTTCGATTACTTTAACCTAGGATAAATATATTTATTTCCTAATTCGCTACGCTCAAACGCAAATAAATTATTTATCCCATAATAAAGGAATCGAAGGAAGAAAGAACAACAAAAAACTATGTAATCCAAAATGAGATTTATCTAATCCAATTGAAGAAAACATATCCAGAATGATCTCCCTTGATCTCGTATAAGATAAAGAAGAGTCTGTGCATCTCAACTTATAACACTGTTTAGATTTACAGTAAGAGAGTGAACGAAATATAAACTCATTTGAATCATCGTTAATTTTAGCACATTTGAGATATAATTTAAGCAATGATACTGGACATGTTCTATAACCAGTTTTTGCTATTACACTCCAGTTACCATCTCTATAAATGTCAGTTTTACTCTTTTCAATGAAAATTGCTATATGATCGTCATGAAAAGTAATATCAGAACGTCTTATAGAAGTTAATTCAGAAAATCTAAAGAATCCTGCATATCCAAGTAAACACATTGTAATACTTCTTAACCTATACAAATCATTTGCATCGTTGCTATACATAGACACTAATTTATGTAACATTTCCGGTGTAATTGGTTCTTTTTTAGAGACTGCATGTCCAAGAATCCTGTGAGCTGCCTCCCGAACTGACTTAGTTAAATTTGAATGACATGGGTTAATAGAACATCCGGCTAAATCATGAGCCCATTTAACTCCGTAAAAGGCATCGTCAACACTAGACGCTGAATTACATTTTTGAATGATAGAAATCAAATACAATGAAAAATCGGTGTCGAAAGCTGGTAAAGAGTTTAGTTTGTAATTCGACGCCCACTGACACCAAGCATTGAACGATCGTTGGTACTTTTTGCTAGTATTGACAGCTCGAGACTTTAAAACAACGTTCGGAAGACTGGCAGCAAGGGACGACAACTCTGGATTCTTGTACTTGTCCAAATGACTATTCAACTTTGAAGCTATCAAATCTGTAAAACGTAACAAGAAAAAAAAATTATAAAAGTAATTCTTACGATATAATAATGTAATCATATAGTTTCAAACAATATGAACAATCAAAATACAACTAAATATAAAAGAAAAGCTGAAAATAATTGAAAACCCAGTCTATATGTAAACGTATACCTTTTTTAATACAAAAATCAAAAATGTTAACAGCGAGGGAATGTAACTTTGGTTTCATGCTCCCTCCGTTAATAATTTTTACACAATTTTGATTATCGGTGCACCATCGGACTGATTTACCAGAAATAAACAATACAAAACTTTGTAGAGCAAAATATATAGCAGACAACTCCCGCCATGTTGAACTCTCAGTTTTTTCATACTCGGACCAATTTCTGTGACAAATACATTTATCAGAGTTTAAGATATAAGCCCCACATGCTACGCTACTGGCATCGGAAAAGATATTTATAGTAAATGTATGTTCAATAAAAAGGAACTTGATAGGATTGTTTTTAAACTGGTCTCTCCAGAATAACAACTCCTGTACACATCCGTCTACAAAAGAGACATTGAAAACAGTATCCCAACTTAATCCATTTAAAATGGTACGGTGTAGATTTTTAGTCATTAGTTTGCAAACTTCCCCTAAAATAGGCATCATAGACATAACTTTCCCTGTAAAACGTGCTAACTCTCTAGCAGACGAAAAAGGTAAATTATTCAAAATAGTACTCAGGTGTGAATTTACATTTGAAAAACGTTTCTCTGAAACACTCATATGATTCTCAGATAAATTCCATACAAGTCCTAACCATTCTAATTTCTTGACGGGAATGAATATCGACTTATCATAATTCAGTGCAAACCCTGCATTTTTTAAGACGTTTTCGACAAAGCTTGCATCTTTAGACGACGAATGAAATGATTTATTCACACCCCACCCATCGTCCAAAAATACAACCAAACGAATGCCATTTTCCCGTGCATGTTTAACGATGCACCTTAAACACTTAGTGAAAATAAAAGGCGCTGATGTTAACCCAAATGGCAATACGGTAAAAACAAAATACTTGTGGATACCGTTATAATTCCAAGAAAAACCTAAAAATGTCTGCTGAGAAGTACAGATATCGATATGATGATACGCTGACGTAATATCAAATTTGTACATAAAACCATCTTTAAGAAGAAAATCAAATGCTACTTTCCAATCCTCAAACTTAAAATGTTCTTTCCAAACGTAATTATTTAAGTTACTTAGATCTAAAATTAACCTTTCCTTCCCAGAACTGTTGACGGAAACAGACAACGGACTAACAATGCAAGGCAAAAAAGGTACTTCTAAAACCGATCCCGACCTAAGTAAATCTGTAATAGCCCCAGTAACAAATTCAGCGTGTACTAGAGCAGATTTGTTATTTTTCATAAACGAACATTTCGGAGTATTATAAAAAGGAATTTTGTACCCATTCTTTATGACATCCAAAATAAAATCAGGAGCTTTAATTGTCTCCTCCCAGAAATGATAATTTTTTAGTAAACTTCCCTTGACAAAAGAATTATTAGACTTACATATGTAGTTATTATAATTAAATGTTTTCTGATACTCAAAATAATGTTCATGCATATAGAAATTCACGTCTATGAAAACAGAATATTCTGAACAGTTGAATAAATCTACAAAATCATACTCATCTTTAACATTTTGAATTTTGGACTGTGTCTGAGTCTTGGGGCTTGAACCAGTTTTTAGGAGCTGCCGATTGTGAACCTGGCTGAGATCCGCTGAAGCCTGAGAAAAACCGCTGGTAGGGTAATTGACTTCCGTTGACCTTGGGACATTCAGCCCGGAAGTGTCCCCATCCGCCACATGCGAAACACTGACTGGACCGTCCTGCTTGTCGAAAGGAACGAAAAGGCCTGACCTTGGTTTGAGCACCAAAAGAAGAAGTAGGAGTATAACCCCCCAAAACGTATGGGTTACTCGGCGTAGACACTGGTAACGGTCTTTTCCTCGCTTTTTGTTTAGAGAGCGCACGACTTTCAGCGCGTCGTAGCCTCTTCTCGTCCTCGCTGTCACTGGCCAACTCGTCAGACTCATACTCGCGCACCGTTTCCCAACCGCCAGAACTTTTGTCAGCAATTTTGATAAGTTTGTTGCGTTTACAAACTTTCTTTTTGATATCATCTATCAGCTCTAGAGATTTTCCTTGTTCTCCCTGTTCTATGAGTTCTGCAGCAGCATCCAAATTATCATAGACGTCCTTATTAAATAAGAACTGCTTCTTATTCCCTTTGTACTTGAAATCTGGCGTACACGTGCTTTCCTTGAACTTTTTGAAGGTCGTCGTTGAAGCTGCTTGTACTTCCTGCCGAAAATCTCTCTTAAACGATTTGAATTTATTGTCAAAATACGTGGTGATAGAATCAAACAATTCCGAGTTCGAATCTCGTCTGCCGCTGAATGTGGCTGAATTACTCTCTCGTGGGCAGTCGTCCATTAAATCTTCGTTAGTAGCCATTAAAATTCAGTGTACGATATAGTACAATAAACGTGTGTAGCAATGCAGAAAACCTCGAATGATGTACACGTCTAACCGACTTTATTATATATTACTGACGCACGAGAAAATCGTGCGTATCATATTCAATGATTTTCAATACAGTAAAACTTCGATTACTTTAACCTAGGATACATATATTGGGTTTCTATCTAGTCAGTTATGACTCTTTTCCGTTTTCCAGGATCAATTATTAAAGGTCATGACCTCGGTAGTATATATATGCCAACGGCACGCGATTTAGAATGTATAAATTCATTATCTCTACAAAGAATGAGGAGATCAAAAAGTGTCATAATTACAATAAAACATGTCCGTTGTTAAGATTTATAAAACTCTTATGTGAAAACAAGACTGTTTTAATATATTCTATTTGTGATTAAACTTTCGACCCTCCACGTTATAATCAATTCCGACATTTTAATATCATCACTAAGACCATGTAATAACTTCACGCCGCTCATAAGTTTAGATCAAAATATATATATATATATACCGATGTTAAGCAGTAAAAGCAATAAAACAGTATGGTCCTGCTAGCTGATAAAGTGGTTTTCTCCTAAACGTTTCAGTTAGAAGAATAAAGCTTTCTTAACTGGTCAGTAACGTAGCTACACTTAATTGGTCAGTAACGTAACTCAGCTTTAGACGCTGCATGACTGTTGAAAAGGTCAACCCCTGTACTTTTTATAAAGGCTTTTATGTCATTAATGAACATATAAATTAATGGTATCTAAATTGAACTGTCGACGTGAATGTTTTGTAACACTGGTCCAGGAGTATGTCATAAAAAGAAAGAAATATTATGTTGCTGAACAATTATGTTATGATGTAATCAGGATAGCCACAGTGACTTAATTAAACAACCTGGTATATATTTTAGTGATAGTAGAGAACAGACATATAACTGTTTAGATACATAAAACATTTATGGAAGATCACCTTAAGGATGAGACTTTCGCTTTGGACTTCCTTAAAAACAACCATGTCGGAATTTATGAAATGCTTAATACAAGAGGTCATGACCTTGTAAGTAAGATATCGGGGACCTATTTATCTTTTCAAAGAATGCGGAAAGTAAAAACCAGTCATAATTATAATAAAAAATGTCTGATTTACAGATTTATATACCTGTGATGGATAGAATAGTTCTCCAAACAGTTTTCAAAGTGATTAACCTTTTGGCCCTTTACAAGATAGACCTTGTGGACAGGTTTATACTAAAGTTAACACGATGTTATTGCTATTATGAGTCTATAAACTAGCTCAAACTAATGTAGATGTAAAATCCCTATAGTATATCAAACTAAAGTAATAAAACACCAGGCTCTTGTCGGCTCACAGAGTGGTGGATACTGGAATTTATTGTTACTGAGCTTTGATGTACTAGTATTTAAACAGGTTATATAGAGTTATGTAGTGATTAAGTAGGCTTTACTTTCTACGTTTTTTATGTTATATAAATTGTTGTAACATGTGCTACAAGGGTTGCTGTCCTAATGTAAGATAAATAGGGAACAAACAAACAAAACTAAAACTTCATTTAAAATAAGTACATATGTTTGTTATTACTGATATACTTTTCTCAAATGTGATATTAGAAAATATTGATAATTTCTACACAGTCTCTTTGTAAATATAAAACAAACATGTTTTGACTTCACACGAAGAAGATATGTTATGTTTAAAACTTTACATTCCACAATATGTATATATAAAGTCATTAAAAAACTGGCAGTTTTGTTAAAGAATACATATTTGCTTGACCTGTAATAGGGAACACAGATTCCCATGCATATAGATGTATTCATTTTATCCAAATTAGACTTGTCCAGTAAGAATCTTATAGTTTTCAATAAATAACTGTGATTAAAATATTTCACTCATAGTATATCTTTTATCACCGTTACATATCTTATATTATAAATTGTAACATACAAAGTTTAGTGATGAATCTCACAAGGATTGTATTTTATGTGTGTATATGTCTCATAATTATGTTCTATGCATTAGTGGGCTTCTTTTTTGTACTTTGAATAGAAATTAGAAGGATAAAAACTTGGTATGTTTGGTAAGAGACTTAAAAAGATTGGTTTATTAATCTATTTACTAGTTAATTTATAATTATCTCATTCTCCTTATGTACATACTTTTTGTGTCGCCTTGAAAAGGCGACATATAAGGGTTACTTTTGTCGGCGGCGTCCGTGTCGTCGTTGTCGGCGTTCCCTAAAGCTTGTCCGGAGCATAACTCAGTCACCTTAAGTCTGATTGACTTCAAACTTGTTATGCAAGCTTCTTTCAATAACCCGAAGTGCAGTGCACAAGGACCGGTACTATGCACTTCTTAATTTTTGAGTTATTGCCCTTTGTTAATTTTCATACTTTAATTTTGTCCTGGCCATTTCTCTTCAACTATAAAAGCTATGGACTTGAAACTTCATAGGATGATAAATCTCATTAAGAAGAAGTGCAGTGCACAAGAACCAGTACTCTGCATTTCTTATTTTTTGAGTTATTGCCCTTTGTTAATTTTCATACTTTGTCCCGGTCATTTCTCCTCAAGTATGAAAGCTATGGATATGAAACTTCATAGGATGATAGATCTCATTAAGAAAAATTGCAGTGTACAAGAACCGGTACTCTGCACTTCTTATTTGTGAGTTTTTACCCTTTATTAATTTTCATACTTTATTTTTGTCCAGGCTATTTCTCATAACTTATAAAAGATATGGACTTGAAACTTCATAGAATGATAGATCTTATTGATACATGTAAGATAAGAAGTACATAGAAACTGTTAGCTCTGCACTTATTATATTTTGAGTTATTGACCTTTGTTAGTTTTCATATTTCATTTTTTTTCCTGGCCATTTCTCCTAAACTATATTGTTCACAAGGCGACACACCCGACTCGCGGAGTTCTAGTCTCATTATGTGTTTATTGAACCGCCGAACATGGCGATGGACATTGTAAAATGTTTTTGCCAATAAAAAGTTTGAATCTTGGTGATCTAAGTAATTGGATAATGGATAATAAGAAAAATTAATCTACGGTAGTTTTCTTTTAGAAGCCAATCACTTTTTATAACAAGAGATATACGCATTTTTATAACAAGAGATATACGCATATAGCAAAAAGATGTCTTAAGAAATGTTGTAAATGGCTCAGATTATGAGTGTTAAAATACAGTATAAATTTTTTGTAGCAAGGCAACATATTAGAAATAGAAGATAATGGAATATAATGGCTTGATATCGGTTAAATTCAAATAAACCAATTAATTCAAGGTTGCAAATAGCTGATTGCAGAGATTATCAAATTTGACCTGTGGTTTGTGGAAACCAATAATTTCACAGAAAAAAATGCTGACAAAGGGGAATAACTCTTCAAATAATGAGTAGATTGCAATGCAAATCGACCATGAAAGTCCGAGGCCGGTCAATTCTTATATCTCTGAATAATTTAAAATACTGATGTAATGGAAAGAGAGAAGGTGGATTAATAAAAACAATTATAATAGAACATTTATAAAACCTTTTACTTATTAAATAACCGGTAGAACCATTCTTTGAGGAAAAATAAATTTTCTTTCAACAAAGAAATTCAATGAAAATATAAATGATAAAATGAGGGGGAAATCCAATATTAAAGGGACTCTACCAATGTATTTCGGCATGACGGGACCGACAATGAATGTTCGAGCCCAAGATTATTATTGTAAGAAATTCAATATTTAAGTCTTTAGGCTTTTGGACGTCAATGGAGTTCCTTTAATTTGTGATGGGCAATATCAAAGTTATAGTAAAAAAATAATTTACTGCACCAAAACTTCAATCTAAATTTAGGATGACGACGCGGACGCCGGGGAGAATAAGACAGGTCTCCAGATACTTCCAATATCCGTGAACTTCGTAAAGTCGAGCTTAAAAGTAATTATGACAAACTAAAATATCTTTAAGAATCGAAAATATTACAGACGTATTTGGGTTTTGCATCTTCTTATGAACACGGTCAATATAAAATTTTAAAGTCAATATCTTAATATTTAATTTGACTCAACTTCTGACTCAAAAATCAAGTTAAGATTGACCAGTTATCATATATACCTGTAAAAAGCAATACAACAGATATAAAGAAATACCTGAGGAGAGACGTTAAAATCAAATATCTTTTTAAGACAAGAAAACAATAATTTTTCAAACGCACTGAAAAGATAACAACACCGGATCGTTAATATATTAATTTCCAAAGCTGGTTTACAGCAGCTTTAGTGAAGTGATTTTGTTAAGTTTGTTACACCCGAGGCTTACCAAAATCATCTTTATGTTTCCGCATGTTGGTGCGCCGTAAAACTAAACAAACCGACATACTGTGTTTCACACGCGGCCGAGGTAAACACCTAAGTATCGAATATTAAATCATTAAGTATATTTTCATGTTTTCCACAGCTCTTCGACATAGTTGGTTACTAGTTGGTATTAAGTTAACATAATAACAATTATATTTAGCTAACACCTTAACCTAAGGAGCATCAAATGGATTTTCCCAGTCTGTATTGTTTGATTGATAGTGTACACTGGGAATATTTCAGAGAAATATTATAATTTTCAACAATCACTTAGACATATACAGAGGTTTCTCTCCATTCAATGTGATGTAACTGCATAAATTGACGTAACATAAGTCTTCGAAATAATAACACCGTCTGCAGCCGTACCGAAAGACATAGATTTGGTAGATGTTGTTGAGGAAACAAATTCTCTAGATACTGAATAATTATTGTAAACTAAATAGATTCTTTTTTTCCGTGGTCCATGGACTGACTCAATCAAAGCCTGTAATAGTTTCAATTTCAAAGTGTTTGGCTACTCTGAATATAACCAAGTATACTAACAGGCTATTATTTAGATTGTGGATTATGTGATATGAATTTATTAATATAAAACAAATAAGATGCTACCAAAGATGATATTGAAGGTAATGGTGTTGCCTATTATGTCATCGTGATGGAGTGTCGTCGTAAATACATTCGACTTAAATGGCATCGCTACAAAATGAATAAATAGAAACAAACCTAAACAAAAATAAATAAATAAAACGTAAAATAAGTAAGTCATTTATGCGTTAAATG